TTAATTGCTCTATTGTTCTTTTTTGTAGGTTTCTGTAAGGTGCAGTGAACGGGAATGTTCTGTCGTTGATCCTCACTCATGTTAGGAACATACCAACAGTGTCATGAAGTGTCATTCAGTAAATAATGACAATTTTAATGAGAATTTGATGAAAGGTTTTATGTTATGTTTATGACAGTGTCATGTCAGTCTTATGCACACTCCATCAAATAAAGTGTTGCCAAAATGGTAATATATTGAAAGCACAATGTAATTATAATTTTTGTTCTTTAAAGTAATAACTTTGGTGTTTTTTTGTCACACTTAAATTTTCATGTTCATTGTGTTCACCTTTGATGTGTAAACTGATAATTTATGTAAAGTTCATAAAGTTGAGTAAAACTGGACAATTTTAAAATGTCGATAATAAAACAAAATATTTGAATTACCTTGAACATTTTGTGTAATTAATTTTCCATGTAATTGTAGCCTAAAACAATGTAAATACTGCAGTGTTGTTATGCATGTGATGTACAAAATAGGAAAGTAGGAATAAAGAAGACTTTTATGAGTAATTAAAATTGTACTTCATTAGCAATAGCAGTAAATCAAAACTAAAAATTAAGTGCAATTTAAATACATTACTAATATATTAGCAGTATATTTAAAATATTTAAAGTATATTAAAATTATATTTTTAATATAATTCTATGACAGAATTAGTACACTCAAAATATGGAATATTTTGGAATATTTCTCTTGAATACTACATAAAAAAAGTATACTTAAAGTATACTAAGTACTACTTGAAGTTGTTCCAAAAAAGTATGTTGAAGTATACTAAGTATACTAAAAGTTGTAATTTAATACTATTTAAATACTACTAAAATATACTAAGCACAAAAAAGTTGTTCCAAAATAGCACAGTTTAAGTACATCAATCAAAGTATGCTAAAACATGTTAAGATTTAGTATACTAAAGTATACTTTTTTTTTTTTTCACTTGGGCTGGTTACTCAAATTTCTGAAGATAACTTGGTGTGAACTACAGCTTCTGTGGAGATCATTTTCAAAGCTGAAAATGATCAACAGCAAACTCAGAAGTCTGTATGAAGATTGGCTCTCTGAACTTCTGCCTCTCGCCATAGAGAAATACTTTCAGATCAAACATTTTGAGTTCTGGATATTAAGAGACATGGGAGGCATCAAGGAGGATGCTCCTTTAAAACAGGAGAAAGACTGATCATGCTCACCGATGTCTCCTAAGAAAACACAGTCCAAGTCAAGTCTTTGGTCTCTACCAACCTAAAATAAAAAAATCTAGAGGAAATTTGACATCAATTCAACTCCCACTGTTGTCTTGATATCCTTACAGTGTTCATAACATCTGATCTGACTCAGATGGTAAACTCTTTCCTCTCATCAAGTGTTTTCCCTCTGGCTTTAAAACACGAGCTTGTTTGCTCATTGGCTGGTAGAAATTTTACTGGAGGAATCCACATAAAGGGAGAAAGCCCAGACAGAGCAGGGAAGGGAAATAAGAACCAAGCACAATTGCATAGGAAGATAATAGCCAGGCTACTAATCTGGAACCAACTTCCAGAATAGTGCAAAACTGCTGGAACACTGAGTTCTTTTAAATCAAGACTAAAAACCTCATTTGGTTATTTTCCTTTGATTTTAAACTGGAACATCATTAAATATAACATTTCTTTTAACCTGCCATCACATGTTAAGCACTTTGAATTGCCTTGTTGCTAAAAACGTGGGATTAAAAAAAAAAATCCCTTTCTTTGGCAATTCGAAGAGACTGGTGCTAGAGCTGTGCCTTATGGTGAGTCCAGCTGTATCTAACTTGAACCTCTTGACCCTATAAATCAGCTCAGGCTCCTTCGCCACCAGAGAGGTGACATTGCATGTCCTTAAAGTCAGCTTATGTAGCCGAGTATGATATTCTCTGGCAGTCTGAATAAACCAATTGCGGCTCACTGCTTGGAGCCTGTTTGTGTCTTCATAAAAACTGACAACCTTAGACTACTCCTGTTAGATTTATAGTTATAAAGACAGTGTTTAGTAGCAATCTGTAAGAAAATCCTGTTGCTCTGGCTGACTAAACTAACAGGTCAGTAAAAAATTATCATTGTTAATAATAATATTGACTCTTATCGAAAAACACCCCAAAAAATGAATTGCTCTGCTGAATACCTGCAAAACTCTTCTATTGCCACAGAATACTCAAAATTAGTTTAAATGACAACATAGTAATTTCATAGTAAAAGCATAACTGGATGTGTCGTGGTTATAAAACTGTTCTAGATTTAAAAAAGAGAAGAAAAAAAACATTAAGCAAAATAACATTGTTTTAAATTAGTCTAACCCTCCAGCTAACTCGTTTTCCTACCACAGTGGAACTAATGGGAATAAGACGCCCTGTGATTTCAGATCTAGTGACCAATGAACGATTTTGGTCTTCCTAGTTAAAAGCTACAGACCAATACAGTAAAGGGATGCATACGTTTAAATAAGTTTAAAATACATTTTCTTTACTATTACTTTTCTGGTTATGATTGTGTATAATATTTATAGAGTTCAACCCTCTCAGATTTTAAGTTTTGAGAGTTTCTTTACTGATCATGTCTCAAGTGGTTTTGTCTCATTCCCCTTCACAGATAAAACATGATGTTATGAGGTTTATAGCTATATTTAGGTTAACTAAGTTTACAAAATGAGTATGGGATGTTTGTAATTGTCATGATCCGTGGTTTTCTGTGTGTTTTTGAGTTTTTCAATGTGTTCCTGTTTCCCTGTGAGTCTCTGTCCTGTCCTCCCCGTTGATTGCTCCCCAGGTGTGTCTCATTCCCTTAATTACCCCGTGTGTATTTATACCCACCTGTTGTCTGTGTTCCTCGTCGGGTCCTTGTCAATTGTCAAACGTTGCAGTCTGCGTCTGTCTGTCCGTCTTCCCAGTTGTACTGGTTAAGTCCTGTGTCGACGTCAGTTCCAGTTGATTTAGTCTTCGTTGTCAGTTGCTACCGGTGCTTAGCTGCGTGCTAGTTGTTCCTGCCGTGCTGCCTGATTTGGACTATGTGAACTACATTCATCATTAAATTCATATTCATCATTAAATTCATCTTCACCATAACCTGGATTCTCTGCGTCATCTCCTCACCACTTCAACCCCTCCTTATGACAGTAATGGCTGCAATAGCATTAGTAAATGTGTTTTTTCTTGAAAGCTATGCTCACCTTACAGCGTTTCAACCGGAAAACTTGCTCCACCGTTTTTGTACTAAAAGATGTTAAGTAGACAGGGAATGCAAAAATATTACTGGGTATCTATGTTATTGGACAACATCACCAGTGAAATGCTGTCTAAACGTGGCGCGTCGCCAGGGT